TTGCTAGGTAACCAAAGAGTGAGTGAGTCAGTTGATTCCACCAACTAAAATTTTCATGTTAGTTTTAGAAAAAAAGTTTTAGAAAACTACATATTAAGTTCCAGGAATGTTTCAGCAAAGTCAATTTCTGGAAAGTATCAGCAAAGAACCTTCTACGTTCGTTGAAGGTTCAAGAATAGTTCTGAGAAAGTTTTTGAGATTATTATCTGCAAAGTGCTCCCTATATTTTGAGAAAGTACAAGCTACATTATGTAGTTTTACAAAAACATTTCTCATTCATGGAAAAAATTACCACAAAAGAACAAATAAACCTAAATCGTTAGAGGCAGAACTTTTTTTTTTCCAATAAGGATTTGACAAAGAATTGGGATCATTATCAATACTAGAGAAAGTTTTTTAATGCAAAAGCTGAAGGGATTTTAGGTCATAACAGATGTTTGCATTTCACAGAGTCCAAGGTGAGAGAAGTTGGACAGTTAAAGAGGAGGAATAGCAGTTGTTGATAATTTTGTAGAAATTCAAATGAAAGTGCCAAAATGTTCAAAATGTACATTTTGCATAATATGTCCTGTTAAAGGCAAAAAAAATCCTCAAAAGTGCAAACAAATAATTTTTTGTTAATTTTTTTTAAAGTCAAAGTTCATTTATTAGAACACTTCAGCAACAAGGCAGTTCAAAGTGAAACAAGCAATAAACATCACAGTATGGCAATTATCAATCTAATGTACATCAAATATGCTGATCAATGTTCCCTTCCCACTAATCAAAGAAAAACATTTTACTGTTGCTTTTGAATAGGCAAGGCAGCTACTGGATTTAACAATGTTGCTAAATATCTCAAGAGCACAACTGCTTGGTAACACTTGAGCACCGTAGCAAAGATGTTACCCAAAAATATAACAGTCAATATGTTAATAAATGAAATGCATAATAAATTAAACTTAAAGCAATGTATGTAATAAACTAATGAAGAAAATGGCAATAAAAATCTCTGGCTTTGGAAATACTAAAAAGTCAGAGTATGAAAAGAATGTGTAGAAGACAATGAGTACCAGTAACAAAAAACCCAACATGATTTGCTTCCTCCTAAGATTTCTTGGGTTTTTGCTTTTTCCCCCCCCACAATTAAATGTTTTTAGATCATCAAACCAATGTTCGGACACATATAGCTTGAGTTAATGCAAAGAGCAGATTTCAAACAAATATTTCATACATTAAGGGTTAAAGCTATCCAAACAAATATGGCTCTTTGTAAAGAAGAATATTGCCATCTTGTTTTCACCCAGATCAACCTGCCACCACCCTGTTTGATTATTGGTATGATAATTGACCGTTTTATAAAATTCTCTCTTAGTTTTATGCCAGTCTGTGACGGTCCCTCCATCGCACCATGCTGACACACAAATCATTATTCGTTCCTTCTCCAAATAATGAGAAGGAACAATCTGTCCTCAAACTGTCCAAGCGCAATTTGAGGACAAATTGCGCTTGGACAGTTTCCCCTCAAATAGTTGGACAAATAAAATCATGGATTCCTTATTCAATGTGTGTCAGTTGGACTTTGTGCTGACCGGTGCCTTTTAGTGGGGAAATCTGTGACTGAATACAGTGTGCACATTTATCTTGAAAGCTAACTGCATTATTTGTGTTTATTTTATGGGTTCTTCTATGTATGTTTTGTTTTTGTGGTGTTCACTTTGTTTTTCTAGATATATGGTACTGAAAGCAGTCATTCTTTGCATTGTTTTTATTAATTACTGACATTAGATCCAGTAGTCGTCCCTAGTCTTTAACATCTAGTCTTTAGTACCCTAATTATTGCTACAATTACAATTGAGATGTCACTTCTGTTTTACTCATCATAAAAATTTGCAGCTGATTCAGCCACTACAACCAGTGTGAGATGGTTATGACACTACAAAACAACCGGTACCTGCTGTAATGAGTTATGGTTCCATTTTGGTGTCTTTGGCATTATTACACAACAATGATTTAGCGTAAATGCTAAAAACAAACAGAGCCCCTGCCAAGGGAATTGGCAGACTCTACGATTTACATTTCATGCCACCTGGCTGGTTGCTGCAGCAGAATTATAACATCTGATTACAAATATACGAGTATCTACGTAACACCAACATCTGCTGGGTTTACAACTGACTGTTTGCCTTGGGAGAGAGACGGAGGTTTCTTTCCACACTCACCAGAGACTCTGGGCTTGTCAGCAGATGAGGGACTGGGTTTGGGTCCCTTGTTGCTAAACGACATGAAGAGATGTTGACAGAACTCCTCAGGGAGTTCACTCTCCAGGAACGTCTGCATGAAGACCTTGAAACCTTCGAAGTCAATCTCCTAAAGCCGAGACAGAAACAGGTGAATGGTCAGGAGCCTCCCACAATCGAGTCTCAATCAATCAGTCAAGTTTATCTGTTCAGCACATTTCAGTAACAAGGAAGTTCAAGGTGCTTTTTGTCATAAAAATACAAAACTTAACAACTGAAGCATTATATTTTTCCAAGTGCTCATTCCAATCAAAACGTTGATTAATGTTTCATTTATTATAATTCAAAAGAAACTCTAAACAGCTGGGTTTTTAGTCTAGATTTAAAGGAACTCATTGTTTCTGCTATTTTGTAGTTTTCTGGAAGTTTGTTCCAGATTTATAGTGCATAGAAGCTGATTGCTTCTGGTTCCACAGAGTGATGAACCTCCTTAGTATTCCCCATTGTAGAGCCAGTGGGCATTGGTCTGTGACTTGGTGCTGATTGTTCACATTCCTTAAATGATTCAGATCTGAATATTTGATATTTGTTTGTTTATTTGGATCGCCAAGCCATTTCTGTAACAATGGCTACTCTTCCTGGTGTCCCGAGTCGTACAAAAGCATTTATTACATAAACAATTACACACACTTAACATAATATTAAAAACATAGCATATCAATTCATAAATGTACAATTATAATTAATAATTCCAACTAAGCTAAAATAAGAAAATTTGGTTTGATTTAACTTCAGACAGTGAGAAAAACCGCGTTTGTGCAAAAATCTGGTTTCAACTCTACATATAAATTGAATAAAATATAAAATTGTTACCTGACTGAGGATTTCCTGCTTCTTTAACCGGAAGCATGAGGAAGAGATAAGTCAGGTTTAAATTATATTTGTATAATACATTTGTATACAGCAACCATTCACATAAACATACAGAAAGACACTTTCATTGTTTTAACTGGAGTCAAACCTGAGACACATCAGAGTTTTGACTTCATACCATCTTCGGTTTAATTGCTGTCGCTTCAGTGTTTGTTTAAAATCACTCACTTAAATAACTTACCCATGTTAGGATTTTTTTTTCAGCACGTGGAGAAGAAACTACACTATAAAGGATAGGTTATGTAATGCAGTGTGAAGTCAACACACACCTCCTCTGGGTTGTATTTAGCCAACACTCCGTCTCCATGGAACTCCTGCAACACATCCTTCAGCTTCTTGGTGGAGTCTGAGGGAGAAATGTTTACAACATGTCACCATTTTCAGCTTCATTTATAGCCAAACTTACATCTGTTTTCACACTCCGCATTAAGGGCTTTTAAACAGCTTTGTGTTGAGGACTTTTAGCAGATTATTTGAATTACTCCAGAAAATCTGCATTTCAGGCAGCCATTGCTGCAGATGTTTTGGTCTCTACTGAGAACTTGTGAGGAATAAAGAGAAGTTATAAGCTACATAGTGGCATAAAAAGAGGTCATATATATGGATTAACAGGGCTCCATGTTGTAACATAAGTTTTTATTAATCTGATGCTACAATAGAAGAAATGCCTCTTATAGATTCATGTTGTTATAATTACAATAGCTGATAAAATTTCTAACTCTGCTGCCTCTTTTTTGTCTGCTGCACTAATTGTTCTGAATCTTTTCTTTAATCCAAATCCATTTCACCAACAGTGAAAAGAAATGAATGCCTCACGGTGGACTGTGTGTCATTATTACTGACCATCTTTATTAATGCACCATCGACGAAAAAAACATCTAAGAGCAGAGTGATAATAAATCCACTAATTACTGGTCTGCCACATTCTCCAGGCACAACTAAATAGTAATTTACAATTAAGTCATGGTCAGGATTTAGGTTCATAAACACAAGCTATTTTCTTCAACTATAAAAGCAACCTAAATCCGTCTCTATTGAATAGCATATTGTGAATGTTCACATAAGCAATTATACTGCTGAAAGGGTACCTCTAATTGTTGTCAGACCTGGTGAGGCACACAGCTATTAAAATGTTATGAAAGTGTGCACAGCTCGCTTTAATGAGGGGAAAGGGAGATGCAGAGGAGAGGAGATGGAGGATGAAATGCCTATTGTTACCAAACAGGAGGTTTTATAACCAGGAGCTGCAGAGTGCATGCAGCGCAGCCAGGAGCTTCTGGAAACATGATTATCTGAAATCTGTCAGCTGTGCATCTTTGCTCCACATGCACATCCACACAGATTAGTTCTCCTCTAACTATAGTTGCTATTTTAACTTGTACTTCTTCATTACAATTACATACAATATATTTGCGCTTAAGCTGCAGAATGTAACTTTTATCACAATATTTGTTTAAATTGTCATGTCAACATGTTATGAGGCAGATTATCTGGGGGGAAAAAAGAGGAAAAAATCGAACTCCTCTTCTCACAGTGCTAATTAGAAACAACCAATCAGAGCCAGGAGGAGGGTCTTAGAGCTGTCAATCACCCTCTGAGTGGTGCTGCTCATCATCTCTTCCCCCTGCCCTCATTGCTCTCTGCTAGCAACTAATACACTGCAAAAACGCAAAATCTTACCACGTAATTTTGGTCTAGTTTCTAATGCAAATATCTCAGTACACTTGAAATACAACAAACTAACTTAAAAGTATCTTTTCAGCAAGATATTGAGGCTTGTTTTAACTAAATAATTCCTTAATATTGATGAAAAAGAACTTGTTCCATTGGCAGATAAATTAACCTATAAAATGGGAAAAATGTCTTGTTATAAGTTAAATAATCTGCCAATTATTTACTTCAAACAAGCCTATATATCTTGCTAAAAAGTTAATGTTAATTTGGTTTTGTCTTATTTTAAGTTGGCTAAGATAAACTTAAATTAAGTTTGCTAAGACATTTGCACTAGAAACTAGACCAAAATTAATTAGTAAGATTTTATGTTTTTGACGTAGCCTGTTATGGATGCTAGAGCTAGTTAGCAAGGTCACAAATGATGGCAGATAAACAGATATTCTGTATCTTTTGTCTGCCATTAGCACGTTGAGCAGCGAATACATCAGTTTGATTGACAGCCCTAAGACGCTCCTCCTGGCTCTGATTGCTTGTTTCTGGTCAAGAGTTCAGGGAAATTGATCTTTTCACAGATTATCTGCTTCATAACATGGTTGCAATTTAACAAATATGTAAAAAAAGAAAAAAAATGTTTTATAAAAGTTACATACTGCACTTTTTATTTAGAGTTAGTAAAACCAAGTGCTAGACCAATTTTTACAAACATGAATAAAAACAACTTGAAACTGGAAATGATTTTATAGTACATAGTCTGAGTTGAGTTCCCTCGTCTGTTTACTGGTCCAGATTTGTATTCAATTCGAGAGCAAAGTTGTTCTTTTCAACACAAATAGCTACAAGGCATTTATGGTGACAAACATTCGTTATTCAGATTCATTGTGTGTGCTCTGAATAGTAACTAAAGATAATGGGTCAAACATCTGTGAGTTGTATTATGTACCATTGAAAGTGCATTGTAATCATTTGAAATGCAACCCTGAGGCAGCAACAAAAGATTTGTAGTCCAGTGCTGGACATTTACCCAACCTTCTTTCTGTTCGAAGAACATTGTTTTGTCTTTCTACAGAAACGTTTCAGTCAGCGCTACAATTTAAATATTTTAACAGATATTACCCTGAATGTTAAGGCTGTCAGCTAAAATAAATCACTGCACGCTCACGTAATAAAGGATACAGAGCAGATCTTGGACTGAAGCACCAAACTGGATGGCCAATCCAGAACCCCAGTGTGTGTGCAGTGACCGTTTGTCGAAATCTTTTATGGTCTGTAATAAACTATGCCAACACTCCAAAGCATAATATAAACATCCAGAGAAGGAAAACAACATTATGCGCAGCAAATTAATCTGCAAATTTACCTGTCCTTTTGGAGCAAGCCATGTCAAAATCTTTACCAAACACTATGTTTTGGTGTTACCAGAGTGATGTTACTGTCAGCTTACAGATAACACTTTTGTTATAGTTACGTCCGTGCTTTGATGCAATCTGAGAAGCTTTGTTTATGCTTGTGGTGCAGCGACCTCTGTAAATGTTTTGTTTTACTATGGAGGATTAGCGAAGCAGAAATCCTGCCAACTTTCCACTAATAAAACACTGATTGAGTTAAGCACCCATCAAACACCTTGCTTCCCTACCGAGATTTCTTTTTCAACTTTAAGCAGTTCCATTTTTGTTCATTTATGACGTTATAAGTCAGCTAGGGAGGTTGCTTTCAAGAAGAAGCTATTCTTAATCTTCTCTAATCTTAACTACTGATCATGTTTCGTGATCAAGAACCTGATATGTCAGACAGTTATGAAAAAAATACAAAGTACAACCTTGGTGTTTCAACATGATTTCATAACTAAAGCAAATCAGCAGACCACACCAGGAGAGCAGTGGTGTGTTTTATCCAAATGCTAAAATGGAAATGCAGAACCAATAACACAATGTTGTATTTCCACTTATCGGTATTTTATAAACGTTGTTATTGCTATTTAACTATTTAACTGATAGAAACTAAATTGAACTTTATAAAAAAAAAAAAACGAAGAAAAAATTTTTAGAAAGGGAGATGTGATGCATATTGAAAAAACAATGTAATTATTTGGTGCTGCCAGTAGGTGGCACTGTGATATATTGATATACAGAGCAGAAAGTGACAAATAAAAAAGAGAAATGTTTGTTCAGAGGCATCCCGACTCATTAAATGTTAGTCATAAATAGCGTTTCTCTTTACACCGGAGCAGCATTAAAACCCGTACAAAACACGAGATGCTAATCAGTTTTTTCCACACCTGCTAGCCAGGCTACATGACGGTTCGGCCTTGTTTCCATGGTTACTAATGGTTACGTACCTTAATGCGATATTTGATATCTTTATAATCAAACTTACTTATAAACGTTAATTTTCTTACCTGGTAAAAAGTGTTAGCTGCAAATCCGCGGTTACACTGAGGGCTACCAGTCATTATGATTAACCTATTGCCGCCATATCGTTCCTCATTAAAAGTTATCAAATAAAATGACAAGTTAGGTTTTCAGCTGCGGTTTGTGCAGCCGACCGCGCAGCATCCTATGTTTAAAAGTCAAATCAATAACAGCGTTGGGCTACAAGATGTCCGTTTTTTGACAGGCTTTACTTGAGCCCATAGGTTTGACATCGGTCGGAGTTCTGGACGTAATCACGTCTATGGTTCTGGAGACCGTGACGTCACGTGCAATAGTTACATGTCAGAATTATATCTGTAAGACTGTCCTGGACACAGACAAATTAAGATGAGAACATAATTTACTCACATTGAGTGTATTCCTGCAGCAGGGCAAACTCTGCCGGGGTCAGTGTGACCCATTTGTCCTGACCGCTCATTGTGCTCGGTCCTTGTTCTTCAAACCTTCCCAGGACGTCACGCGTCAGACGACCAGCTCCATCACCGGCTGCAGTCACCTTCTTACCCTTCTGCTTTGCTTCCTTTGAAGAAAAGGTCACAGAAAATGGCAGAGCAGGTCAGATGCAGCATCTCTTTGGCTTTGTTCAGCCCACAGAGAATCTCATTGTCTCTGTTTGAAGGCAGCAACAGTTGGAGGCTCACTCATTTTAAAGGAGCATACTTTCTACATTTTTCCTGCAATTCATTTCCTTTTGCAGCATCCATTTCTGCCAGATTTTACTAATATTCATCAACCTTTTCTGCCAGGAGAAAACAAAAAAGATACAACTTTTTATTATGGCTCAAATTTCTTTGCCAAATTAATTAAAATGAATGAGACAGCATTAGTGTGACAATAAATTAGATAACCTGATGTAACATCCGACCCTGCAAGTGTTTCCTGGAAGTTCCACCAGGCCCAAACTGTTAAATTTCCAGTGTATTTATCACAATATAAGCATTACATATCAGTCAATAATTGTCCATAATTATTATTAAAAAAAATTATTTTGGAGGGTTGCTGTAAATAACTGAGACAATACATTTTTAAGAAGTTATGAGACACTGGCAAAAACATTAAACTGCTGCTGCGCCAGTTACTCGACAGGCTGTTGCTAGGTAACCGTAGCTGGGGAGGAGGGAACTTGAAACTGCTTCTAACACAGCAAGTTGTTGCTAGGTAACCAAAGAGTGAGTGAATGTGTTGATTCCACTAACCCAGCTTCCTTTGCCTACATTTCCCAGAATGCTGTGTGGTTCTGGATTGGAGTTCGCTAATTTTTATATATATTGAATTTTAAATATTTTATCAGATGTATTTGCTATTGATTTTGATCACATGTCTATCATGATATATATTGTTATTAATTTATTGTGCAGCCTTAAGTGTATTAATATTTAGTAGGTGGTTTGAAATAAAATATAGATGTTATAGGTCATATTATAGGACCATCATAGATAATATAGGGAATATGAGCCCCTCCATGAGGGTGGTGTCAGCTCAGGGTGTTTATAAGCCTATTGATTCCTAAAGAGGTTTATGAAAACATATTTATCTCCAGGTTCATCTAAAAAATTTGAATATCCTGGAAAAGTTAAGTGTTTTTGCTATGTATTAAATGTAGAAACAAACCACTTTTGTCTGATGTTTCTCTCTATAAATATTTGTCTCTCAAGCATTACGTTGTGGTGATCTATTAAATAAAACACCAACAAAATAATTTGAATCTTATGCTTGTATAGTGGTAAAATGCATAAAAGTCTAAGGAGTATGAAAACATTTGGACTGTGAACATTTTTCCTGGAAATGGATGGATGCATGCATTTGTGTTAGAAATGCTAACGACTCTTGGACTCCATCATTTTTTTCCTCTGTTCACATTACATGATTAATTGCTTTACTTGATGTGAAGGGAAAAGATTAATGACAACAATTTCTGCTCTTAGCCAATGTTTCGGTTTTGCATCATATTTGAAATGCATCAGTGTTTAATGTGTTTATATTTCTGGGTGTTTGGTTTGTATTTTTTTTTAAAAAGAATACAAGTTAAAAACTAAAACGTGAAAACACCTGTTTGGTTCAGATTTTTACATGCTGCATTTTTGCAGCATGTAAAAAAACTCATTGTTGAGAAAAAAAAAAATCTTTGAAAGCTGCTTTTGTGCTTTTCACAATCAGCCCGACTAGTTGCTTGATTCGGTTCAGCAACAAAACAAACAAAAAGAAAACTTTTAGCTGTTATTTTTAAAACAAAGAAAGATCCAACATCCAGCGATTCACTAAAGAAAAGTCAAATTTTCAGTGACAGATTTGGATAATTTTGAGGTGTCCTGTAATGCGATACAGGATGATGCATTTTTACAAAGAAGAGGCTGAGATTCTGAACTAAAACCTTAAAATTAATAAATTTCAGGATTATTTTTCTACATCTGGACAAACTTAAAGAACTTACCATCATGAGTCAGCCATCACAGTTTAGCTCCTTTTGCTGATAGAACCTGCTTTCTCTCTGTTTGGTGTTTTCATTGAACATTTATTGTATGTATATTGTATATTGGTCCTGAAGCTTTGACCCATTTACTCGTAACTGAAATCCTGGATCAACAAGTGGATGTTCAGTCATGTGAAGGTTAATTTCAAACGACTAAAATCTGTTTGTGTCGCTGCGAATACAAACACCGTACCTTGGTGTGTTTTTTTTATTATTATTATTTTATCGGGTCGTTAAAAGATTTTGATTTGTTTTTGACCCATCTGTGGGTGTGTTTGTTTGTTCTCTGACGTGTGTGTGCAGAAATTCCCTGAACAATTAACCGAACGTCATCCAAATTACAGAGATGATGACAGAGAGTTACAGAATGCATCAGAGCTGGATGTGTGGGAACCAAAAACTTCAATCTGCAAAAACTGAGCCATAGAAGAAGACGCAAGTGAGAGATGTTACATAAACTGCTTCTCTGAGTGTATTCCTGCTGTGCACTGCAATCATCCGCTCCCTCTTTCTGCAGTGCAACCAGCACTGAAAATGTCACAGCAGTGCTGCTGCTCCAGTGGTGCAGTAAAAAAAAAACACAGCATCACTATCATCTAGCAGGAGACTCAGTAGGTGTTGAATGAGAATCAATACGGTGACACATTTAGATGCTGCTCACCTGCTGCAGGGCTGAGGAGGAAAACAGATGTCTGGAAATGAAGCTCCTGAGTCAGATTTCTGGCTTTACTCCTGACTGGATCCTCTCTGAGGTTGTAATGTTTCTCTGTGTATGCAGCAGCAGCCGCCCTCTGTGCTGCATGTCACTGTCAGCGCGTATGAATGGTGGACTGATTGTTTTTTTCCCCTCTGGTCAGAAGAAGATCAAGGATGTGGAGTAGTGACACACTGAGTGAAGGAAAAGCGGAGGATGAGAGAGAGAGAGAGAGAGAGAGAGAGAGAGAGAGGGATTATCCAGTGTTCGGTTTTCCATACTCCCGCTCGCTCACGTCACATCCCTCCTTCCCTCCCCTTCCTCACGCTGCCGCTCGTCTTTAACCCCCTCCTCCTAAAAACCCTCAGGTCCTCTCATCCACCGCTCATCCTCCATCGTTTTCTCACACCTCTTTTCTCTCTTCATCCCACCTCCAACCTGTTTTCACGTCGGCCAGCTGAGAGTAACAACCTGTGGGATTTCAGGAAGAGAAATAATTAATGTTTTTATGCTATAAACATTTACTTCAAAGCACTTTACTGGGATTTTATGTGAAAAATAAACAGAAAGTAGCAAATAAAAAACAGTAATGTTTACAAATAAATGCACTGTAAAACATTTGAGCTGCATTCAGTTGTGTCTACCATTTTCTGCTCTTTAAGTCAAAATAAATTCAGCCAGTTTTAGAAAATTAGCACTTATAGAACTGAAAGAAGAAAACGACAGGAGTGGGAACTATTTCCCAGAATGCTTAGCGACGTTTTTTTTGTATCCTGAGATGGAAGTGCATTGATCTGACTCTGTGTTTTATTAATGCAAATGTTTATTTTTATGTCCTGTTCACACTAAATGTTTTTGAGCAGAATTCATTATGATCTTTAATAAAATTCATTATCAGATCAGAAATTTTGTTCATGCAATTTGAAGCAAGAATTTTAATTATTCTAAAGTAAAATAAGTAGCTATTTATTGTGAGTGAAATGTAAGAAATGTGGCTCTTTAACTAGGTGAGGGTAGTTTTTTCTTACATATTGTGAAATAATGATTAGGTTTACATTGCAGCATTAAGTTAAAACTCACATTCAAGATTTATTAACTTAAATAATAAAGTTTAGATACCTTGTCTCTTGTTCTTAAATTAACTAAGTTAAAACCAAAACAATTTTCTTGTTGACTTAAGTTGCATTTTCAAGACATCAGGTGAACTTTCATTTCCAAGTTAAGCCACCTTCAAATGTTTTACAGTGTACCTTAAAATGTGACAATATTTATTCTCACCTTTTTAAGAAAAATAGTTTGATCAGATGAGACAGTGAGACATTTTAACTTAGTAGAGTGATTTTTGTTGTTTGGTTTTACTGGAGCAGCATTAAGATAGAATGTCTGTGTATTATTGATTTCTATATTAAACCAGTAGCCATGTGCTGTTCTGGACCAAACAAAACACTGTTGGAAAATTAAAGATTTCAGAAGGGCACTGTCCTGTCATGAGGAATAAGGAATAAGAGAACACCAGTTTTCAAGTCTTGACAAAGATTCTCAGTTAAAAGGTATGCTTGGACTTTGACTAGGCCATTCCTTTTGAATCTCTGCATGTTTAGTGTTGTTGCTTTTGTAAAATAATCAAAAACATGTTTGTTTTTCACTTCACAGCTGTATGCTAGTTTGAGTTGGTGTCTCATAATTTCTCACTAAAATAAATTGTGACACAACATTAAACAGTGTGTGGATGTTTTTCAGCCATATTTATCTTGTTACCTTATATTTGCATGTTTTTAATCCAGGATTCCCACATCATCTGTGTGACTTTTCTAACAATGCAAAGCCTCAGCAGCAGCTAAATGTCAGCTGCACTGTTCACGTAGAGTGAAAGGCCATCCGATGCCCCGCAGTCACCGTGTGTCGGTCACATGTGAGGGACATATCGATACTTCAGCTGCCTCTCCCACTCTGGATGTAAACGCCCACATGACCTACACAGACAGCCTGGAGGCAGCGCGACATCACAAACCACACCGGGCTGCCTGCATTTGGGTCGGTAATCTTTGATGAAACTCGATTCATGCTGCGGTTTGATGGTCGGACTAACCGTCGCTTCCGGTGGAGCGAAGCCTCTAAAAGGCGTCAGTAAAGGAAAGGTTAGCTTCAGGTTCAGATGAAGACGTGATGATTATTCCTGGAAACAGCGTGTCAAAAGGTTCTGTTCGGAAAAGCAGAACAGAGACAGCCTGTCGCGTCTCCTGCAGAAAGAGTTTGTTGTGAGAGATTTAGCTGGATGTTGCAGTTTGGGCTCATTAGAAAATGGCCGTTAAATGGCCGCAGCCATGAGATCTACCGACCGGAAGAACAAGTGGCTCTGAGGGTGTCTGGGCTCTGCTCTGGATTTATAAACCTTAAAGGTTCAACAGACAAAGCAGAAACTGGGAACAAGTCAGATTGTTTGTTATCAACAACAATTGAAATTTTGCAGTTTTAATCAAATGACGTGAGGAAAACAGTTTTTTAAATGAATAAATTCATGACAAAAGTCAGATTTCTGCATTTACAACTTAGTGTTACATCATGTATTACAAATATTTCATGTCCCAACTTTAAGCTTCCTGTTCGCACATGAAGAACCTGTCCTAAAGCAAGTCAGTTTTTGAAATTGGTCACATTTAGAGGAAAAGAAATTATGTTTTTGCTCTTGGACATCATTCACTGATGCTTTTCCTCCAACTTTAGAAATTCTTGCTGTTTTGTCATGATGAATTTAATACGTTTATAAATTTATGGCATAATAAAGTTAGTAGACCAGAAATTATTTTCACAGACTTTTGTGAAATGACAAGAAACAATAGGAGTCAAAAGTTGAGGAGAGCTAGAAACTGAAAGTAGTTTCCATGTACATCTTAGCAAAATGGCTGAATCTAAATGAAGTATTCAAAGCCCTTAAACTGCTTCACGTTCGTCAGATTGGACCCCCCCAAAAAAAATTTAATTTTATTCTGAAATTATGTAAGACACCAACTCAAGAGCTAGAGACTGAAAATAGTTTTCACATTCCTCTTAGCAAAATAACTGAAGCTGATGCAGACCCTCCTTAAAGAAAACTTCTACATTTTTAGTAAATAAATCAAACGAAGCATGACTTTCCACTTTCAGGATCTGCAGAGGCGGAAAGAGTAAATGGGTAATGGTAATTTTTGTCTTTAAAAATGTAATTTCAGAGAGTCATACCCTCCAGGATTGTGTGTCATTAGCCAATTTTAGCTTCGAAGAAGCAATTTGTGTGGTCAGTGCTACTTAAGGATAGGCTTAAATTATTGAAATCTGTGCTTGATATAGTTAGGTTTTAAAGTGTAGCTGCAATGGAAAAGATTAATGCTGAATCTGTCTTTTTTAGACTCTGTCCAATTTCACTAATCGTAGTAAAACAAGAGCTTTTAACTCTGCGGCCACCAGCGCAACACCCTGCCCAGCTGTGCAGAGCACATATATCAATTCTACCCCATTTTCTACCCACAGAGCTATAAATAGCAGCAAGTGTGTGTGTGTGTGTGTGTGTGTGTGTGTGGAGTCTGGGGTAGAACACTGTGTATCATAATGGAACCATTACATGAGAGTCTGTGCAGGAAATCTTTGATATTTAATACATCTATAGCTGGAACTGATTTAAAATTAGCCTCACTGAGAGTTTAATCTTTCAGCTCAACTCGCCTACGTTGTCACTCTTTCCAATTCAGTACAAAAATACGTCAGTTATCCCAGAGGGAGATTAAAGGTTGTCGTAACTAATATCATCCAAGGATCTTCATAGAGTTGTTTTGGATGGTGATGCTGTTGTCAGGAGGGATTTCCAGTAGCAGTCAGTCTTACCACAATTCTGAAGAAGCCTCTGACTGTAAGCTGCTGCTGTATGACAGTAATGACTGTTATGACACATAAACAGCTCAATTTCCAAGCAACGGAAACGATATTCCACAGTAAAATGATCTGGATTACGCTACTCCTCATTTGTTTCTGTCCCTCCTCTTTGAATCTCTGTCTAGCTTGAACAGCTTGAGGAAAGGAGTAGGTCTATCATCTGTACAAAACATGTTTGTTACATTTTTTTGCACAAAATTATTCTCAGATAATGAGATTTTAGTTTGTTCAGGTCAGCCTATGTTGAGCTCCTTTCAGAATGAGCTTCTTGTCACTTTAAATCCAAATGAGTTGCTGCTGGCCACGCCTCCCAACTCAACATTTAACACTCGCACATGAAAATGGCTGAAAATAAGTGCGCATGCGCATGAAAATTATACAACCGTGACATCTTTGAAAAGTAAAAATAGAGCCTTCTGCACAACCAATAAGAATGCAGCGGGTGGTTTCTGGACATTAAGTCAACAACAAAATATTTGTCTTTTCCAGCAGCCATTGTACAGCGTATAGAGTGATAATAGGAAGTCTTTCCTGTCAAACAGCCGTCACCATCTTCAGTAACTATTTGAAGAATCTACAACAACATTTAATTCCCCTTTTGGATGAATAAAGTACTTTTGAGTTTGAATTTGAAAACCAGCTGTGCAAACATTCTGGAGCTCTGCTTCTGTTGCTAGGCAACGTGCTGAGCATAGCTGAGGTTGCTAGGTAACGGTAGCACCTGCTAATTTGTGACCTTACATTCCAGAGGTTTTTGAAACGGCTCAACTTCCAGATACCAAAAATCATGAACTTACTGCCAAAAACTGACTGAGTTTTTTAAAGAATTTCTGCTTTTTATTTTTTAGACCCAAATAAAAGTACTAAAACATGCAAGATATGAATTTTAGTATTTTTTATTATTAACACAATGACAAAAATAATAATAATTGATTGAATAATCCAACCTGTGCATTTTAGATGTGTGTTTGATTCCAGTTGAATCTTTTTCATAAATAACCGATAAAGTGCATATTTAACGTTTCCACTTCGCTCCTCCTGCCTGTGATGACGTTACAATTCAGCCTGCTAACCGTTTTGTGCTGCCACATGTCCTCTCTGTGCTCATACACAGTAGTGCTGTGTTGCAGGATTTCTTTGTATGATAATGAACATGAAAGGATGAGTCACTGGACCAATCTGTGGACTGGGGGAGGATGCTCACATTTGTTCCCATCTGCCATGTGATGGATTAAATGTTAAATGCTCATCTAATACGATCAGGCGAACGCTTCAAGCCTTAGACAAGCACTTAGTGTCGATGCGGCATTGACAGTTTGACTGATGGAGAATCAGGTATTTAAGTCAAATTGCTGCAATTACGGCTGCAAATCCAAAGTAGCTTTTCACATACAGGCTGACATTTCTGCTCACTGTTCTTTGAAAACTCAGTCCAGCTGAGAACATCCATTTTTGGGTCTCGCCACAGATGGTCAGTTTGATTCATGTTTGAACTTTGACATCATTTTACCACAACATGATTTGTGGAGTAATTTTCTTTAATTTCCTTGGATTATGAGTTGCTGTGGACATTTGATGTGGATTACATGTCTATGGTCCCATTAGAAATATTTAAGTTACCTGCTGGATTGGCATCTCCATCCAGAGACAAGAAACCTGCAGAAATTACTGCCTTGCTTGAAATAGATTTTGTAAAAATGTGTGTGGAAGCATGAATAGGTTAACACAAAATCCAATCAAAATCCAATAACCGACCTGCTGCAAATTTATTAAGTTGAGTCAAACTAATGTTTAGAGGCATTTGACAGATAAAGTACAGACTCGACTGAGTAACTGGGAGGACAAACAGGAAGAACTGCAGAAACAGGAAGTGAAGGATGACCTGACAGAGCTGATTTCCCAGGAGATTCCCTTCAGAAAGTCGACCTTCAGCAAACTTTAATCCTTGGAGTTGTAACTGTTGAGGAAAGAAGTTTGTCTGTTTACCGGGGATTGTTTCACCTGCAGGACGGAACAGAAGAGAAACTCTAAAGGCTGGAAACTTGAAATGATGATGTCATAAAGCGAGGAAACGCCGGCGTTGGGGGAAACACACAAATACTGTTTAAATAAATTATAACTATTTGTTTCATTCAACATCGATCTATTAAATTGGCAAATTTAGTTTGGTTAAATGTATCAAATGCTTTTAATTTGTTTAATTTTTCCATTCTATGTTTTAAATGTATAGTCATTTACAAATTCAAGTTTCTTTAATTAAGTTTGACATCTGTATACAGATTTTAAAAAAGAATATATTTTTTAAAAATTTTTAGAAACCGTGGCAAAATGGTTGGACACCACTAGTTTGGTTGAAATGAAATTCTTACAGGGTATTTTCTAGTTACAAACTGCCATTTTATAGCAGTCCAGTCATTAAGTTATAAAAACGCTATATATATGAAATAAGACTTAAAAGGAATTTGATTTTGTAATTTAGTGCCTCTGTCTCTTTAAGAAACTCCTGGTCCGACATGCTGCCTTCAGGAAGTAATCCCAATGTCAGTCCTCTATAAATCCTTTAAAAACAACCTCCCAGCATAACATTATAACATAAAATAAAGCTCAAAATGTTGATTTTAAATAGTACTGTCCCTTTAAGGCCTGAAATTTCCTTATTTTTTGTTCCTCTGTCAAGTGAGGCAGATGTCCCTCCTCTTCATCGACGAAGGCCGCACTAAACTCCAATCAATATGTCAGCTCAGTAGCCTGTTGATAAATCACTTTAATAAGCCAACAGGTGATTAAAAAACAAATGAACTACACAAAGAAGCATTTGTATTTGTCAAAGAGCCTATGTTTTCAAATTAAGATCTTCTGTACAGATAAACTGTTTAAATGTAAATTTATTCGACTCATTTAGTTTTTTAGAAAGCATTTACTTATGCATAAAGCTCAATAATGTTGTCTTTTTTAGCTCTATTTTAAATATATTGTGAGGTTTTGTAGTTATGTAGAGATCAGGATGAGGATAAACATGAAGTATATCAGTAAAATTTCTAAATCTGGTATTTCTCCTGTTGATGCAGTCTAAAAATGCCACATTTATTTTCACTTCAGGTGAAGTGAAAATAACTGGAATAAGTTAGGAGTGTATTCCTAACTTATTGCAATAATATCCAGAAAGCCATAAAAGATCATCAGTCACTTTACACTGCAGAGGGAAAAAGCACCAAGCAGAAAACTACGTCAGCATTGATTTTTAGGATCCTGAATGTGAAAAACAAGCTGAACGTGATCTTCAGTCATCACCAGGCAACAGCAAGCAGGTTTCTAAACTCAGGGATTCATATGCAACACTAAAACAAGAAAATGCAAAATACAACTCCTTCTTTTCACTTCAATGAGAAATGTATGGATTTATTGATTTTAATGCTACTTTGTTGGTAAAAATATAGAAGGTGAACTCCCCTTCGTTATCTTGCCATGCAAAAATGGAGAAAAAACATCTTTGTTGACACAAGAATGATCACATTTTTAATCAGAATTTGTGTTAACCTCATGTAATTGCTTTAATGTGCAAATCCAGTCCCTTTGTTTGTAATTCTGTGCTACTTAAAATTAATCTAGATCATATTTACTGATGTTTTTTTTATTTCACAAGTTTTCCTGCATCTGCGTTTGCATTAAAAATGTATGCAAAGAAATTGTTCCGTTAACGTTGACAGACAATTTTTCAATTGCAATGAAATTAAATCACATGTGCATAGTAACGTCTGGCTATTGGTCACATGACCTGTGTGATGCAGTTTTCGATACAAAGGAAAAACTGCCTCATTCTAGCGCAAAAACGTTTTAATAAAAAAAAAGTTGTTTTTTCTTAATTGGTGTGTTTCCATTCGTAATTCCAATTTGCAATTTTATGGTTATAACGCAGATTACGGATCAAGAGCTAAGAGTAACACATTACATGGAAATAATCCTAACACGTTTACATGAAATTGCAATAAAATAATGCAAAAATTGTAAAGTAATTGTAAGGCAGTGGCTTAAATATGTCAGCTGAAGCCAAGTATTTGTGCCTTGGGCTCTGGCGGTTGGTGTAGTGTGTCCTTTAATGAACACCGTAATTTGGCAACTAAATTCCTCTTTAAATATACTTTGAAACCATGACAATGAATGTACGTCCATACAGTTATCACTGAAAACTATTTATTTACTTACTTTTGTAATTTCTTGTCTCGTATGCTGAACTGACGGCTCCGCGGACCTCTTAATGCGCATGCGCACTTATGTTCTGACAGAACACAAGCTACACTGATCGCTAGCTCCTCACTATAGCTAAATATTAGGTTTTTTAAAAAAATATGTGCTGTATTTATGTGAGATACCATCTCACACGGACAGGGCTACATAATTATATAAACCGAGGAAAAAAGACCTAAAGCAGCTGATGTTAGGATCAAAAACCATTCAGTAGATCAATAACAGATTTACTAATCTCTCGTTTTTCAGACAGGGAGCTGGTCAAAGAGGTGCTGGGATTTCATTCTGGTGTTGGCAGAGTTTTGAATCAGCTGCATGACTGATTTGTAAACACACGATTACAATAATGAAACCTTCTGGAAAATAAAAGTACCAGCCAGTTTTCATGTGTTTCAACAGAAATCCACACAATTAATTGCATCTCAAAACTGCAAAGATGAACGTCAAACTGCTTCAACTTCCTCACAATACCGACTTTTTTTTTAAACCTCTGGAAAAAAAAAAAAGTGTTCTGCTTTTGAATAAAATGTGAACACTGGAGCCTTTTAAAGACAGGATGCTGGATGAAAAAGAGACTAATGATGGGTGATAACAGCACCATCTGCTGTGGACCATTTGTTACTCCCACACAAGATCTGGAGACTGAGGATGAATTCATCTGCCGTTTCAAAATCTAATCAAAGCTGACGAGCCACAGGCATGAAAGAAAATATATAAAAAATCTAGTGTTGCTTAAGCCTTTGCATAATTTTCCTTTCATGTAATTTAAGGGATTAAGAAAAGACACAAAGAATTTAAGTACTTTTATTTCAATGAGAAATGGAAAACGGACTGTACATCGTTGAGCATCAATTCTGTTCTAGCTTTGAAATGAACAGCTTCAGTATGAACAGCACTCTTCTGATAAGAGGGATTTATTGGTCCTTCACTGTGGACTGCAGCACCTATGATAGCAGTGACATTTTAAACATAATACTTCTAAAAATGAATAATGTTTTGGCAAAATTATCAGCCTATTTTCTCTTTGTTAATGGCTCATTTACATAATTAAGCTTTTGTTATAAACAAGCTTGAAGCAGCTGCGCATTAAAAGGTTAAAATCAAGCAGAAGCTGAACCAATTCTGTTTCTTTTTCCTAATAAACTACAACTTAATAGATTGACAGATCAAAACATGCTAAGATGAAATCCTTTGAATCCAGACGTCCCCGTTCTTCCTGGATCTCGTCGGTGTCTCAGTCGTCTTTCTTCTTGATGCTGAGCAGCTGGGAGACGCTCTGCAGGGCCCAGTAGAGCAGCGAGAGGGAGACAAAGGCCTAAACAAAACCAACAGAGGGTTAGAGCTGCAGGCGTTTCACACCAGCACGCGTCTGCGAGGCGCTGAAACCAGAACCATGTCAAACTGGAAGAGGACGACTCACGACAAACAGGGCACCAATCTATGGAGCAGCAAAGGTGGAGATTTAAATCGCTGTTCAGTTAAGGAAAGACACAGAAGAAAAAAAGACAAAAAAAGAAATAATCTTCTGTTTTTGTGTCCTTTCTTTGCTTATCTTGTTTGGGGTCGTCTCTACGATACGATTTTACAAAAGCTGAAAAAAAACTTCTGAATGTATACAAACTTTAACGTTTACATTAAAATTCACTCCATTTATCTCACAATATTATAAAGGTCTTACATTCAGTTGAAAGTAATTTGGGTTTCAATTTTTAATAAATATCTAAAAGCAATATGCAAATTCCATAATACAAAGTAACTACACATATTTTAAAAATGTAAGAGCAGCATACTTTTAAAAGTACCAATATTTATCATATTACAGGCTAAACCTGCTCAAGCCAATTCATTTCTGTCATTTTTGCTTTACTATTTACTGACAAAAATCACGAATTACATTCAAACACCATTCAATCAACAACGTTTGCTACGGTTTAACAAAGAAGTAAAACGGCAGCCATAGAAAGTTTGATTTCTGTCTCGTTTTAGCCATGAACCACAGATTTAGTGGCTTAGCGGTGCATATAAACTTTGGTTCTGTACAAACCTCAGTTATGGAGCAGCTACGTAATGTGAGTTTGGTGCAACAAGAAAACGAAACAAATGTAGAAAGTTTGGTTTCCATTTCCTTATTTTGATAACCTCAAAAATGACTGAAAAACCAACCGTTGAGAAACTCTATGGTACAAAAATACACAATTTGTCTACTGGGAACATTATATTATTCTTTAAGAACATAACAGTTTATTAAGCGATATCAAACATCTTTAGTGTTTAGGCACCTTTATACTTTTTAAATAGTTAATTTTATTTTAAACTTGGTTTAGGATTTAACTTCATGTGCTATGTGTTACAGTTATCATTCGATAATTTTGGAACCTGATAAAGACCAGATCTTTTTTTATTATTATTTTTGCAGAGACTGGTGGTGGAAAAACATACACATTTGAGTATGTTGACATTCAGTCTGTTTTATGTGAATCTGGTTCGGTATTTTACAAAAAAAATTAGATTTACTTTAAGGTCTGGGCTGGTACTGAGTAAAATTACCACTGCTCCATGTCACTTAATATTATAAGCGATCTGGTGGGATTTAAATGGAAACGCAACAATTATTCATATTTTAGCTGTTTGTAAAAGCTTGAACGTTTTCTAAAAAATCAAATACGTTTCATATAATCAAGGATGCATTAAATTGTTAGCTTGAAGACCAGAAATCAGTTGCTGAAAGTTGGAAACAAAAGTGCAGAATGAACATTACTTGTAATTTAGTTGTAGATTCCTTTAGTTGTTTCCTTTTTATTTATGTATGCAGTAATTTTGGGAATGTGGGAAAGTTGGTAGGCTAGTATTTAGTCATAGTATTTGCACATGCAGCTAGCTAGCCCGTATTGGCTACTTTATTTAGGCAAGTAGTACACACAACTAATCTCTAGCATTATCATGGTTTTCTATGTAAAAGAGTGATTGGTACCTCTCTTCTTCTATCCAAGCTATATGGGTCTGTTATTGATAATAAATATTTCAGAAAGAGGAGAGAGAATATTGCTGAATTTCCTGACAGCTTAGGGTTAGTCTGCAAACACTTGTGGAAGAACGAGTTGCTCTGTGAAAGGATGCCACCTGTGCAATAAGCTCAGTCGTAAAATGTTCTTGCTACTAAATGTTTAACAGTCAACAGAGTGGAAACACCTGGTCACATCAGCGAGGTTCTGCACAGAGGCTTTCATTTCACGTTGTCTTCAGATTAGCTGGAGAACAATGATTTAGGCAGAGATCATCAGTTTAACAGTACCTGTGTTTTTATTAACCATACAATTAAGCATTTTGAAATTGCCAAAAATAAATTTGCTTAATGGAAACAATTTCCAAAAAAACTCAAATTTTTTTGGTCAAATGTTTTATGGTAGGTGTTTTCTGACCATTGAAGAAACCTAAATTCAGTCCTAGTTTATTCAGACATTGAGGATGAATTAAGTTAATATTTGTTATGATAATTTAAGTTTATCAGGATAAAAATTATTATTTAACAGTTAAAACTGTTATATTAGACACTATGCTAAGGCCCTCTCGTAAATGTGCATAAGTAATTGCAGTTAAGCAGTTTTAAGGTTTGGCTATTGACCCTTTGCAGCTACGTTACTTAACCATCCAGGGGCCATGATGGACGTTGGAAGTGAGGTACAGGAGTGTTGAACTGAGCGACTAAAATTGTTTTCCAAAGTTGGTTTTGCCAGTTTATTCATGGCTTCTATTTGTTCGAGTCAACATAATTTGATAATTTGACTTGAATCACATGATTAACAGCCAGATGTTACTACTGGCAGAAACGACAAAGAAGACAACAGGAATTGGTAGGAGGATTTTTTATTTCGTCTTTCTTTTAAGACGATGTGCAGCTGGCTCCATCAGAGCTCTCACAGCATCACACAGTTCATAAAATCTTGTGTAATTCTAACGTGTTGAATCCATAGCATTTCTGTAAAATAGACTACAATTTCCCCAAAACGTCACAAACGTTCACAAGGTTAAGGGGTTTGTTGTTCCAATGCTGGCGTCTCCTCTGATGGCTGCATTATGAACTCACGTAGCTGTTTATATTCATCGCTGCCGTGAATTTTAATGACTTATTGACAGAACAAGCTTATCCACGTTTGATTTTTATTTATTTCCTCAATAAATGAAAATACTGCAATTGTGAAGCAACCGTCTTTCACTTTCTCTGTAACATAGAGAGTACCCCTGGCCAGTGGAGGTGCTGTCCTGTCACTACGCTCAGTAAGAGGGATTACTGCAGAGTTAATGATACAATGCAAACGATTGTCCACTGTCGCCTCATGTTCTAGACTGCAGCAAAATCAGAAGCTCAGTGCAACTGGCTGGACTTCCTAACATGGGACGTGACTCAAGTTTACATGTGTGTGAAGTGGAGGATCAAGTACTTTTGGAAGTGTTGTACATTTTAGTATATATGAAAATGCACAATACGTCTATCTTCAAACTAAAACTTTCACATTGCTAAACAGGGAATCCTGGGAGATCTTCAAGCTCTGAACTTTGTTGTATTGCTTTGGTGTGGAAGGTTGAATATAGACGTTTTATCTGTTGTGGGAATTAGTAAGTATTAAAAACATAAAAAGATACATATTATAGTGATATTAAAAAAATGTAACCCTGGCCTACCTTGAAGCTCATATCTGGCTCATGTGTGGTTACAGTTATATTTTATTTGAAGGTCAGAAAGATGAATTAAAATCTCCTTAATCCCCCATGTCATCACTTTCTTAAAGTAATGGCTGAAGTCATTTTAGCCAAAAGTGATTTTGGCAAAAAAAAAAAAAAAAGAAAAAATCACAACCTCTTTTTGTCCCCTGATACGTTTCAGGCAAAAAAGGGGAAAATCTTTTGGCAAAATACTTAGAGGTCATTACTTTACCAAGGTGACGATATGCTAATGAAAATTATAGTGCTTAAAATTAAGACTCAATGAACCAAATTATGTTTTTACAAATTGCTACGGCTGAACTTTGCTAAGCTTGTGTAAATTGTAGTTTCCTGTTTGAGCGCCCGGTGTGGTCTCCTGCTGCTGTAGCTCATCTGCTTCAAGCTTCAGTGTGTCAGACATGTTGGCTGTAATAAAGATACATAAACTCTAAGGCACAAAGGTCACTGTTGAATTATTATATCTATAGGCAATTTGGACCTGCCTAAACTGCAACTGTTTTTGTTTGAATAAAAGCAACTAGATCATGTAGATCATCTAGATGTAGATCAACTAGATCAGTGGTTCCCAAACTTTTTCTTCTGCGCCCCCCCAGTGGTTTCCAAACATTTTCTGCGCCCCCCCCCATGTATTACAAATAGCTGTCTGGTTGAAACGAGGCCTGTGAGGGGGGTGAGGGGGCATCGACTTTTTTGGGGGCAAAATGAATGTACGTAGCTGAAAATAGACACCAACATCGGTAGCCTACAAGGTACTTGTTAAGCTTAAGTTTCAGTATTGATATTAGCTAGTCATCTTTTAGCTAACTTTACCTGCATCCAGCAGCTTTACTCAACTCAGTCGGTTAGTTTGGGTGAAAAACTGTGAAAAGTTCTTTGCGTTTTGCTGGTTTGTTGCGGTGATTCTAACACAAACCTACGTAGCTCCGCCCAGCAGCAGGTCTCCTCCAGCGCGAGCGTCGTAGCGCTCATGTTGCGTTTAAAGGCGGCTCGGGAAAACAGGTTAGAACATGTTAACAACGGATTAAACAGTTTTAACTGCTGATAAAAGTGACACAGATATGGGAAGTGTGGAAGCCTCTACTGTATCAAATTGACAGGAATAACAGAGAGTTGGCCATTCTAAGGTAAAAACCCAGCGCATACAGTGTTCATGTTTTGTTTTGTTTTTTTCATCCAGACGGCTTCCCATGCCCCCCCCGCAATGACACGGCGCCCCCCGTAGGGGGCGCGCCCCACAGTTTGGGAACCTCTGAACTAGATCATATAGAACAGGGGTGTCCAAAGTGCGGCCGAGGGGCCGTTTGTGTCCGTTGGACTGACTTTGTGTGGCCCCCAACTGCAATTAAAAAATGATAAAAATTTGGCTCGTATATTTTGGCCCATAGATTCAGATGGAGACTTAAAAACTGTTAACAACAAAATTTGGTAAAATTTTATCACCAACTTTTAACAAAATGTGAAACTAAGAGAGATTTACTGAAAAGCCAAATTCTTTTTTAAACGTGGTTAAATATAGCAAACGAAAAGTGGAAAGTGACCCAAATCCTGATTTATTCAACTGAGCCAAAAAGAAACTAAAACTCTGTTTTTCTTTTAATACAGCAAACTTGCAAAATTAAAGTAGAACATTCCTGCCAAAACCCTCAGAAATTTTGAGAGTGATTTCAGAAATTTTCTACAGAAAACAATGAGGTTTGATAGAAAAAAATCAAAGTGTCACATTAATATCAGAAATTTTCTGGGAAAAAAAAAAACTTGGAAATTTCTGAATTTTAATTGTCAAAAATTTTTGTTTGAAGATTTTTCTAGAAAATGTCAAAAGAAATCACAAAATTTTCTCAGTTTTTGGTGGAAATTTGGTTTTTCCAATGCAACATGATGTCGTAAAAATCTACAATAAATGTCCAGCTACTTTATTTGCTTGATTTTAGGTTGTTTTTTCTGTTCTGTTACTATTCTGCGTCTACAATTTTGGCAACAAGTGTGGACACCACTGATGCAGATAAATTCAGTTTGAAAATGCTCAGTGTGGCAGCAGCTGAGACAAAACAGTGAGACCTGTGAAATGCTGCCGGTCTCAGGATGATGTTAAAAATGTGACTTCAGAGGTTAAGTAGTGGGTCCCGTCTCCTGACACTCTCCCGACCGGGTCACAGGGGTTGCAGCCGTGGGGGACTCCGCTATTCGGAGAAAGCGGGGCGAGGGAGGGGGCGTCTCTGCCAGAAACAGCCCTCGCCTCCACCCCTCGCTGAGTTCTGGCCCATAAACTGCATCCTACATCTCAGCCCAAGCCAAAAGCCGAACGCTGTCCGTCACAGGAGAAAGAAGGAAGGAACAAAAAGAGCTATTTTCCTCCTTCTTCTCGGCACGGCAGCTGTTTTTCTGTGAGGGTTTGACGTCTCAGTACCTGGTCCGAGATCCTGCTGTAAGAAAACAGGAGCGAAATGATCGATGAGCCGCAGAAGCCGAGGGGATTTAGTCGGATTAAAACATGGAGGATTTCTCCGTTAGTGACACTGAGCCACATTCACAGGACAACCTGCAGTTTTAGCATTTATGTAAAAATGTTTTGCAGATGAACTCGAATGGACTTGAAGAAAAAAAGTCATTATGAGGTTTTTTTATTTAAAAGAAAATTTGATTATTAAATCAAAATGATTTCAAAAAGCTTCTGGCACATAAGCAGAATCTCTTAAATACATTTATTTCTGGTTTTATTTTTACTTATCAAAAACTCGTAACTTTGCTTTTCCCAAGTAAGACAAATAGACAACGAAACAGAAAATAGACATTCATAGATGTTTAACGTTATTTCAAACACTGAGAAAAGTTTCTAACTTACAGTAAAATACTGGCAGCAACATTTTAAAATATGTTAAATATCTGGCCGCTACTTAGCCGTATACTAGAGACGCTTTTGTTTTTTTGTTATGATTGGTAAAACTAATACGTAACTTTGACAAAATATTTATAGTATTTTCTTAAATATCTGTATTTTTTATGCACATCAGTTATACGTAACTAATATTTTATAGTATAGGTAAATTAAATAATTAAGGAAAACTTTAAAATATGAAATTTCCTGTTTGACAGAAAATGCATTATTACTCATATGACCTTTTCTACTGCTATTCAATCCTGAATGTGCATTTTTTACACCTAGTTATCATGGTTCTAATCAATTTCAGTATTTTGCAATACATTTAGACTTAAAACGACAAAGATGACAATTTAAACAAAAAAAAGAACTTTTTTTTTACTTTTCCTTCTTCCATTTTCTGCTTTAATAAAAAGTAATTATTTTTGCATCACATAGTGGAAGAAAATCAATTTTAACAGATCTCCATTGAAAAAAAGGTTCAATAAAACCAAAGAGGTTTCTCCAGTAAAAATATCTCTCATCTATAATTACTAATCGATAGTTCACAAATGGGCCTGAAAGATGTCAGAGTTAAAGATCGCGACACTTTCGTCAAAAATTAGATGAAATCCACTAAATTCAAATCAAACATGAGTGGTTAAAAGTCCAAACATCCTGAATCAAAACAGATTTCCAGAACGACAAGCTGCGCCGTGTCTTTTTTATTTTCTTTTTTGGTGATGGACAACGATGGAGAGAAGAGCGAAAACCCGGCAAAAAACCGTGCAAATCATGTTTCACTCAAACTGGAGAGCAGAACATGACAAGGAGCTTCCCTCGAAGCCGCACGCGGCGGGCACCTATTTTTCTTCTGTTCGTCGCTCCTCATTTATCCTCCGCCTGAGCTACATTTTAATGCGCTCTGAGGAAGTCCATGTGGGACAGATTACATGTGGAAGGAAGCAGGTCTGATCGTCCACAAATAAGCACCGCGATCTTTTCCAAAGAGGAGAGGTCAGCACATCGACTCACACTCACTTGGTTTTGAGCAGAGGGAGGTTAGCGAAGAGTTGTAATGCAAAACGCCTAAAGTATGTGGTTTCTGAAAGAGGTTCCTACAACAGGGAGAGTCTGTGGTCAGAGGCTGTAATGCAGCGCAGAGAAAAAGCTTCAGAGGTAAAGGAAGGATTGGTCATGTTTCTTGATATTATGCTGCAATGTGGGGCAGCAGCCCTGTCGCAATAAGCAATAAACCTATTCATTACATGATAAATTATAATGAGCTCAGTATTTTTTCTCTTTTCTATGAAAAACCGGATGACAAAGTCTTCACTTTTATGAAGGATAATTGTGTTTACAGAGACTCCATAATTCATTTTATTTGTTGTTTCTGTTGTTTTGTTTGTTTATTTTGGATATTTAAAAAGTTTTAGTGTTAGATGTTCATCAGAATTTAAAGTTTATTGATCTTTGACAATGTGGTCTTAGATTATTATCCCATTATTACCATTATATTACTTGAAAATGCTCTCAAAACAATAATACGATAATTTATCACAATAACTTCTGGGACAATTTATTGTCCAGCAAAGCAGGCGAGCCAGGATTATAATCCTGAATAGTATTTGATAATCTGGAATTAAAATTTTGAAAAGAACATAAACCAAAAAATGTTTAGTTTTTCTTCCACTCTTTTGGCTACAATTAATGTTTGACAAAGACAAAGCTGGAGTGGATTACTCTGCACTAACAAGTCTTGCTGTCCAATCTTTAAAAGGCAACATAAGAGTTGTGAAACCTTTACTGTATTGTTAATAAAAAATTATAAATTATTTCACTCTACATGTTGAACTACATCTGTCAGGAAAATAATGTTTAAGCCTCATTTTGCAAGTAAAACAATTTGATCAGCTGCAGGTTTGGCTGAAATTGACGTGTATGCTGGCACTGCTTCAAAATAAATATTGTAGCAATGACACTTTATTTCACACCAGACGCTTCACTAACCTCAGCATACTGGATGCTTGAAATAAACTTTAAATTTGGACTAGTTTTAATCACTTGAGGGTTTATACAGAGCACAGTTAATTGTTAGCACAGCAGGAGAAATTTGACACCTTTGATCCCAACGCATACACACTATTCAAACTAGAACTTCAAAAGTTATTTCACAATATCTGCTAGGACTTCATCTTCCACAGAATCCGTTTGTGTTTATAGAGTGTTTTCAATAGATCTAAATGTGACAAGAGAAGAAACTGTGTGACAGCAGTTTGCTTCAAAATGTTGTTAAAATTTATTTATTTTTTTTTTTTGTGAACCCGTTTTGTCTCCTGAACAATTATCGTTACGCCGCTAATGTGGAAAATATTCTCTTCAAATTTATCAAAATGTGGAAAAGGATGGGTTTGTTTTTGAGGTACTTTTTTTGTAGCTGCATCTAAAGTAAAATAACCTACAAAATATTTACTCTGAAAGTACCAAACATTTATAAACTCAATCTGGCAACATCCAGTTAATTTGAGCAACGCTGGACGCCGCTGGACGCAGATCCTGCAAACACCCACTTCAGTACCAGCAGCAATAAACTTCCAGCCTTCAGTGGGTTAACATCGCAGAACCTCGCTGCTCTCCAGCACAGCTGCACTCGTGATTGAAATGAAAACAAGGCAGAATGGCTGCTGTCAGACATGTGATATATGACCTGCAATGGGATGTTTCCAGAGCTCCCTCTCCATATGGCTGCCTACAGTCCACCAGACCCGGCCTGAACTGAACTGCAAGATAATTCACAATGCACTGCGGAGGTGGGTGGGTGCACTGTGCTGAATTTGTGGAAATATGAAGTATGTTTCTTAATAGTTCCTGAAAAATGCACCCTGAGTTTTGATGCATAAAGTTTAAGTGACAGAAAGTGTAAAACCACACAGCAAAAACACAAACACTTACCAAATACTTTAGTTTTTAGTGCAGATATCTTAGAACACTTGAAACAAAACAAAAATAATTTACAAGTAACTTTTCGGCAGGAAATAGGAGCTTGTTTTAAGTCAATAATTCCTTAATATCAATTTTGTAGTTCCACCAGGACTAGCTCTAGTAGTGTCGTGCTTTGGCCGTTTTCAGCTGGATCAGTTTCATTTTTCTGATCACATGCGACGCTCCACTCACATTCTCTAACGTGGATGGTGTTACTGAGTGAGAAAGACTTGGACTTTCAGCAACAAGTTGTTTTGAAAAGTTAGAGGAAGACCAACAGTTTGTGAAGAAATTGTGTTTTCTTGACATATTGAGACATTTATTCAGGCAGGAAGTGAGTGCAAACCTTTCGGGAGGTAATAGGAAGCCAGAACATTACAATAAAAAGGAAACTGAACTGGACACTCTGCATTTAAAGGTCAATGCTTTACAAAAACTGGAGGCCTCAAATCGGACCAGCAGGCTCTGATCAACGCTTCTCTACTCAAAATGAAAGAATGGCAGCAGAAGAAAGAACCTCAGAAACCG